CTCTAGAAAGCCCGTCTCGGTGGCAGCCCCGCCCGTGGAGGACCCGGCTGCGGTCCTTTGGCGGATGGGAGGGAGCTCGGGGCCAGTGAGCACAGCTTTGAAGAAAACTTTTCCTCCCTCAAGATTTTTCCAGCTTAATTATTTAAAAAGCAATATAAATAAGGAATGCATTCACATGGCTCGATATTTAAAATAGAATTTAAAAAGAATTCGTGTCCTCCAGCATGTTTTCACCCATGTCTTTCATAACATGTACCACCCTCACTTTCTTCTACACAAATGACAGCGTTTCTATACCTTTTTGCCTCCTGCCGATTGATTGGGGAGATTACTTCCTAGGTCTTGCTCTTTAAAAAAACACAAGCTACTACATAATATTCAATTGCCACACGTTATTGATAATTACTCCATTAATGTTCACGCAGGTTGTTCCTTTTTTTTATTCAGACGCAGCTCCAGTAAATTACTGCGAACATGTTTCTCATGTGTAAGGGCAGACCCATTGCATACATTCCCAGAAAGAGATTTACAGAGCAGAGTACCAGCGTCTACACTTTTGGTACCAACTTACCAATCGTAGAACACATAGGAGGTTACCTCTACACTTGTCAACACGTTATGAATATTTTGATCTTTGCCAATCTGATGGGTTAAGTAATATTTAGGTGTTTTCCCCTCCCTCTTAACCTTTCTTACACACCTATTGATGAATCACCTACCAGGCAAGGCCCTGTTCTGGAAGCTGGAACTATAGGTTAAAGCAAAACAATGCCCTGCCTTCGTGGAATTTATAAGTGTGTGTGTGCGCGCGCATATGTAATACACAGATGGGGAGGCAGGCAATAACAAGAAAAATATAGTTTATTAGATGGTGGATGTCAGCACTAAGGAGAAAATAAAGGAAATACGGAGTTTACAATTTTCACAGGATGGACACTGAGGACCTCACTAGCACTGACACTTGAGCTAAGACTGAGGGCCATGAGGCATTTGGGGTGAAGATGTTTCAGGGAGAAAAACAGCAAGTGCAAAGGCCTGGAGCGGAGTGTCTGAAATATTGTAGGAACGTGAAGGATGTGTGTGTCTGGAGCTGCAGTAGCACAGGGTGCTGGGAGTACAAAGAGGGAGAGATATGAGGGCCGTGGGTGAGTGCAAAGGTAATTGTTTTTTACACCAAGATGGGAAGCCATTTGGAATTTCTAAGCAGAGAACATGATCAGACCTAGATACTGAAAGGTTTTTCTGGTGGCTGTGCTAAAAATAAACTTATGGGGAGAGATCAGCTAAAGGACTTATATGCAAGCATATAGGCCTAACCAATGGACACAGACAACAGGGGGGTGAGGGCATGAGTGTGTGTGTGGGGGGGAGGGGTGGGGGGTAACACGGTGTAAGGACACATATGTAATAACTTAATAAATAAACTGTGACAGCAGAAGTGGGGAGACAGGCTAGGAGGCTCTTGCTACCTTGCAGTGGGGAGGACCTTTCTAAGCATGACATAAAAGCCTAAAAACATAACTGAAAAGCAATAACGGAAAAGATAAATAGAACTGGTAACTGAAACATTTAGAATTTTTGAATGAAGAGAATAAAAGTTAGAAAATAAAGTCAACGGCGCAGCCCCAGCCCCAGCCGCGCGCCTCCGCCTCCTCGAGCGCAGGGCCTGGCTGTCCCTCGGGGGCCGGGGCTGAGGCCATTCCGGGCCGATCTTCAGGTTCGCCCTCTATTTGGAGCTGATTCAGGAGAACCTTGGAGTCTTGTCTCGGAAAAGGAGTTGCTGCCACAGAAATAACGAGCTGCTGGGAAACAAATGCACTGACGGAGGCAAACGGTGACGCTGAGATGAGCTTGGCGTGCAGGACTGAGTTTAGAGAAGCAGAGGGCTACCGCTCACTCAGGCGAATAGCAAAGCCCCCAAAGCTCTCATGGCTTTTATTTGGGGAGTACAGCAAATAACAATGGGGTACAGCAAGTGACGATTAACAAGCATGCTGATGAGATAATCTGAGCTAAGTTATACATTACACTATTAATTTCCTATATTATACAAAGACTCTTTCCACCTGCAGCAATGCACCCTCCCTTGAACTTTCCATGCCCTCATGGACTATTTATCACCTCAAGGAAAATTCTGCCTCTGAACAGTAAGTCTTGTGTGCAAGACTTTTTTCTGACGTGGCCCGCTTGCAGGCCCCCGCCTTTTCTTGGCAGAACGTCCTCTTCTAGTTAACTTTATTCCACTTGACCAACTACAGGGCTGGACACCAGGTGGGGACAAAGGCTGTCAAAACACAAAGCTGACCCTTTTCCCATGGTGCTGGGGACAGGTCCTCTCTCCCTGCAGGGCAGCATGATGTGTGAACAGGAATCCAATGGATGCACCAGCGCATCCTGGGAGTTCGGACTGGATGGACAGATATCTCTCCGCTTTGACACAAAGAACGGACACTGGACAGTGCTGCGCGGTGAAGGCAGACTGTTGAAGCAAACATTGGCGAGTGACAGAGCTATGACCGATCTCCTTGTTAGGACCTCAACTGGAGACTGTAGGAAGTGGCTTCAACAAGTTCTGTGTCCCCTGAGCACACAAGGTAACTCTACAGAGGAAATGAAGTTGTAGTTCCCTTGAAATGACATTCACATAGTGTGTGAGGAATTATAACTCAAACTTGAGTGTGTTGTCCAGAAAAGGCAGCATCCTTTCGGCTGTGTGGTGCTTATGGGGAGAGATCAACTAAAGGACTTATATGCAAGCATATAGGCCTAACCAATGGACACAGACAACAGGGGGGTGAGGGCATGAGTGTGTGTGTGGGGGGGAGGGGTGGGGGGGAAGACAGTGTAA